ATGAAAAGACGAAGAGGAGAATATCAATCACAGAGGAACTGTGATCCTGAATCACTCCATCTTCATTTATTCAACTCAGATGGAATGAATTATTGATCAAATAAGCTACTAGACATTCATCGAGAATTCGCCATCGAAATGATCAATCAGAAGGCGTCAAAGTCTAGTAGGAATCTGTGTTCCACACTCATAAATCCAGACTCAACAGTGTAAATTATGCATCCAAAGATACCCTTGCAAAAGACTGAATAAATCTATGAGTGATGAGATGTGTTCATATACATAATGACATGGAATGTTTTATATCTCCTCGGATAATTTCAAGTACATTGGACGAATGATCACCTTAGTTGATGAATGTCTACCTGTCTATCCATTGTGAATGTTCATGTTAGCTTGTGAATGCTGGAGGATCTCCATAGCTCATTTGGAAAGTGAAAACTGAAATCCAGTCTAAAAATAAGTCTCATATGGGCGCTGAAATGTGAATTTCATGAATATTCTAAGCTCAACATAAAAATGTTACATATAGTGGTACCTAATGTAATGCATGCCCAGTAAAGATAACATGAACTTACAATCTATCCACATCATTGTTACTGAAGGAGATGAAAAACATAAAGAACAAAGATTTGTAGTAAATACCAAAATGTTACTCATAGTTTTCTAAGTGTAGTATTATTACCCTTCACAGGATATGACTAAACTAGATAACAGCATGAAATACGATGCACCTAGGCTGATTGTCACTAGCAGTAGAGACTCGAGGAAGTGTGTTTCATCCGTCTTTGTGCATATCAGCCAGTTGCATCCACGGATTAATGAAAGGCTTCCACATGCAACAGTACATCAGACTCCATCGCTTCAAATTTCACCAACTACTATCACCATCGCAAGGTAAATCTCAAAGGACTTTATAGCGTTCAACCTGAAAGTCGATATTTCAGTAGTGACGAAGCCATTCTGTCGAATTGTAATTACATCAGTGAAAACAGAACATCATTGGGATGGGTAAAACAATGAGAATGAACAATAAGTTCCTTGAGTACTAAAGACTATACTTGTATAAATGATTTATATAACTTTGTGCATTAAGAATAATTTCTTCAATTTCTACAAGTCAGTATATTTGTGGAAGGAGTCGTTTATTTAGTATCACAGGGAAAGAAGTTATCAAACTCAGATCTATTAGCTATCTGAGGATTAATGCACCTTCACACATACAACCCAGTTGACGATATAGTGGAGAAGAGAAATACCTACTTTCAACCAAAATCGTCATACTGATTTTGCAGGAAGTAACGTGTAGTTTCCACTGCTTAGCTGGGTACCATGTGTAATACTTATGAAACAAAATGGCAGAAAGAGTAATATATTATGAAATCAATTAACATCGTTTCAGACGAGATCCAATCATTGACAGAAATGAATGTTCGACTCACTTTTCACTCATCCCTTCATACCTATAATTAGTTAGATGCAGTACAAATGAAAACATTAAGCACTTTTCTTGAAAAAGAATGGGAAAACATAAACAACATCAACTGTGCAACTTTATTGATCGACGGATATCTCTGGTTGCATCTCTTCGTGAAAACAGGGGAGAATATCCAAGACTTTCCAGGTTCTGTGACCAATCTCTTAGAACATTCAGTCACATTGTCTGGGATTGAATGGCCCATGAATAAATAGAGGTAGCATATGTAGCGTATATTATTATGGAGTTTAACTTCAAGCGGCTACTCACAGCCGTGTACTCTCCATTTAATTTCTCAACTGAACGAAATCGCTGTCAGGATTTGAATTTATTGTAAATAAATAATTATGATTTTTTAAGGGAATACAATCTACTTACACTTCTTCATCCGGAATAGTAGCCCTGGGAGAAAAATAAACCGAAGGAGTAAATGGTAATTGAGTAACTTTTATTCATTGAATTTATATGGAACAGAGCGTATGAATCTATTCTAACGAAACTTCTTGCTAACACACAATGGCTGATTTAGGCACGTAGTGGTTTAACGGGCTCAATAAGTGCCACAATTGCTAAGCCCTATTCTCACGACGAAATATATACACAAAGACAATGCAATCATGGAACTTACATTTGTGGGATCGCTTGGCATCTAAAATAATAACAATGAATATATGCGGTGTGAATTCATGTTTTACTGAGGCATCAAACATGCTGTCACCAAACAACGAAAATGCATTCAGTGGATGCTGCTCATGAAACTAAGTGATTTTCGATACATCTACTTTGCAAAAGTCCTTCTGATTGTATCAACTGATATGAAAAGAGACTTAGTAAATTCGAAAACTGCCAATTTGATTTGTGGAGGCGCTTTCTCTCCAGCGTTTCAGTGGAGAAATCTATGCGCTGAAAACCGATCAACCTTTTATGCAGGATTTCATGAGTTTCAGTCAAATTTCATGAAACTCATTCCAAGTCAACGATGTGAAGGTTGACCTTTGCCGTTCGACTCTACGACTGTATCCTCCTTGCATGGAGTTGCCTCCTTGGAAGTAGTCGCGTCAAAGAAACAGAGAGAATAAACGAGACAATATAACGGCGAGAAGGTAACGTATTTCACAGACAGAAAAACCAATTGGTCCACAAGATATCTGTGAAAATTCCATTTCAAGTCAATCGCCTTATCCTGACTTGTCGTTGGCGCTTATCGCACTCGAGATTCTTCAATATAAATGACAAATACAAACATTTGGAATGTCATAACACTTACCTTGAAAGGTCGCTTGAATAATGAAAGAAATAATGCAAATAGTTACGTTAGATTCGGGAAATATTTTTAAAATTCCATCTTCAGAAATGATCTAAGAATTGTGACTTTCGCACAATCAGTTAATCATCTGTCTATACACACATGGAAAAAGGATTCAGACTATACCCTGAAAAGTGAAGATGTTAATGAAGATGAGTTGTTTACAAGAATCATGAAGAGACCAATTCATTTATCACATACCCATCCTCTCCAATTTGATATCTATAAATTGAGTATTGGTTACACACAAAACACAAGGGTCAGGAGTTATGAATATGACTGGAAATTAGTCGAAGTATTCATTCGTTTTCCTGAGAGAGAACGTTCTACGCATAACCGACATTAGCAATCATCAGTTTCGGTGGTATTGTCTCTCCCAGTTTATATCTGTGAGAGTTTGTCCATTGAAAGTACAAGATGATTTTGTTCTCCTGTTTGTTTCACTGTAAACAAATAATGTATCCACTGATGAATAAAAGGTTTAATGTTTGAATGCATTCCAGTTAATCACCAAGTCAAGGCGTAAGGAGAGAAAAGCATCGATTGAGAGTAAATCCATGGTTACCACTGAAATTCCAAAAGCTCAATGCCACACATTTCAGTTACCACGCAAAAGAACGACAAATAAATGGTTGATCGAATTGCTGATGTTTTATAAAATACTGAACTGGTGTATCAAATACAATTTATAGGACTGATTCTACACATACTGAGGCACGAATGTTTTAGGCCAGTAACATCGAGTCAGGTGGAGGAATCGTACTGAAACAAATCACAGGCTGTAATCAGTTTCGTAAATAGCTCTCTGTGCTTCTCCACCATCAACAGTACATGAGTAATAGTCATGAGTGTTATATGATTTGGTAGATGAGCAGATTTCAACTACTTCCTACAATTACGCAAATCTCATACACCTCTACAGTCTCGCATGTAACTCAAGTATCAAACATAGTATCGGAGAATGTATGTGTTACAGCTGCTCCATTGGACTTATGATGCATGTGAAGGTTGCATGGATTTCATCGCAGTTTAGCTAAATATTCACAGAAAATGCTACAAGCCATTCAGTAATTTCAGTTGAGTTCGTCAGTGGCACGCCGTTAGAATGCTCGCCGCCACGTCTCACGTGGTTTGAGGATCAATCCTCGGTCACAGACGCACTCCTTTGCCCCAGTAAGCCAGCATTAAGACTGGGAAAGAGAGAAGGTTGGGTATGAGGCTAGCAACCCCATCCTGTAAAAATAAACACCACTCCTACAGAAACTCCAAGCTTTTATGTAAGAGCCCCATGTTCCACTGCGAACCTAAAGGAATACCAAAACATTTCAGTTTCAAATATTATAAAATAACTGAGATTGTACAATAATAATTCACAAGAAGACAGAAGTTGTATTCTCATGGAAAGTAGTAAACTGGTGAATATCTGAAACTCACACTGATCGGATGCGTTCTTTCCTAAATAAAATAAAAATTCAATGTGAAGTCTGACGTTTCATCTAACACGCCTTGCTTTCACTAAAAAAACCACTTGAAAAGTTAATACTTTCCATAAGTTCCTTCAGAGTAAAACAGCACTGATCAGGTTTGAACAAACGGTATAAGACTCACTATTTGTAAGGAGTATTCATTTTGTCATAGCGATGATTTGTGAATTCATAGCAATATTTCAATGAATTCTTCGTCGAATGTTTCCTGCACTTAATAACGAGTGAATTGATTCAGGAATGTAGATATTGAAAATAAGATGGGGCTGCGCTATTTGCAGAAATTCCGTACCTGATTCTATTTGGTAGTGAATATGAAGTGATTTCAAGTTTTTTTTTTGATTGCACACTAGTCAGTAACTAGTGTAATGTATCTAGTCCTATCTTCGGTGCAGACTGAATTCTATCAGTCATGTTTGCAATGTGGCCACCATGCTAGGTGGCTCGCCATTACGGTGCACTGTGAATTGTTGGTATTGGATGGTTGGAGGCAATCGGCAGGAAGCCTTGGACCTAGGTTTCGTGCCAGTGAAGTGCACTAACACCGAGTGTTCCAACGTCGAGACCTTCTATTGAAACTACTTTAGTACATCAATAATCCTCACTCAGAATTTGTTATGATGTTGCATGTAATTGTTAATTAATGATCTTCACTGCCTAAAGACGCATTTATCTACAAAAGCCCCAAAAATTAGCACAGCCGACAAATTCATATTTACACTATACAACTTACAATACATCGGCTTTTTGATCACTGAGAAATGAAGGAGAAGATTTGAGAAATTAGTGAGAGGGTGAGAATATTACTCAACTCTGAATGACACGCGTTGAGGATACAAATAGCACGTCGCTTTCATGTGCATGTGTGTGCGTTCTATTTCATCTAAAGTTTCTTATGAGGAAAGCGAAAGTACTGGTCAATGTTAATAGTGTGCTTTGTGTGTGTATGTGTAAGTGTGAGAAATGTCCAGTTGGATCAGCAGATTTGTAGGTGCATTAGACACACTCTGGGATACTCATGAGTTGTCCTACTAACATTCATTCGTTGGATGATGACTGAGTATTTCATGAAAGTGTCGATTATGGCGAGATTTAAACTAGAGGATTCAGATAATGAACTCAGGTGATCCACCAGCTGAGATATTCATTCATGGATCCCCTAGCCTAAATGCACCTGCACCTGAGAACTACCTCAGTGTTATGTCTTCATCCAGTTGACTAAAGACGCAGACAGTGACCTTCATATCAAACGTATTTGATATATTTTTCGGTATACTGGTGTGAAACTACTATTAACTGTTTATGAGTTGTTCTAGATTTCAACTAGATTCAACAAAGAGTTTTAACAAAGTGATGAGTAAATGATGAATGTGACCAGTGAATGAATAAAATCTTTCTTACAGGATTCTGAAGGTGTCGACACTGAAAGGAGAATTATTCAATGAAAGCACACACACACACGTTATTAATTCACATACTACACTAGGTCAAATTAACTTGCCAGTAATGTCAAAAGTATTTAGATCAGGCTGCTACTACTACTAGTAATAATAATACTTTCATCCACAACTGACTTCATACTGAAGAGCAGATTGCTGATGGGAAATGATAACCAACTGCAAACTGTGGTAGATAACGAATCAATCAAGACGGTATGGCTGAACATATATATAGGAGAAAATGCAGTTGGGTTGGATGTATACTGGAGAGATCTATGAGCGCCACTTCGGCAAGCAGAGGCTGACTCGCGAGTGGACAACAAATCAGGCTTAGAGGTTTGACATGGAGGAAGTCGTGTGAGGTCGAAATGAAGGCTCACGGACAACCAGTCAACCAGCTGAAATGACTTCAGATAAAGGGGTGAAATGGTGTCGTGCTGCATAGCCTCTTCACTTCACTCAGATAGTGAGAGAATAATATCAATTAATTGGGTGAATTTCGAAGACTGACACACAGTAATTCAGCTACAAAGGACTATCGACAGTAGTTCATCGCATTGTCTTCATGATACCTTCATATTATGGCAACCACCTGAAATCACTGATCTACCAGAACTTCCATCCATCAAAATGCCTAAACCTAACTCCATTTCTTACTGTTCTAAGCAGAAAAATACATCACATGTTCAGTAAATGATCTCAGGCGCATTGTCAGTTAGCTTCCAGCAAAACACTGTGCGATTCTTGAAAGAAAATGAAGAAAAAGTGTATAGACGATTGGTCCTCTGTTCGTATGCGACAATACAGCGTCACACGACATACTTCGGATTATCACTTTACTTGTAAATCTTACATGAAGATGAGATATTCTGGAACTAAATACGCTGAGGATTTCTGCACTATGTCTTCACGCATTGTCTCAAATAAACCTCCAATATTACAATTATTATTAGAAAACTAAGCATTACTCAATTTCAGAGTTAAGAAATACCCACTAACCAACGAGAAATAAAATGCATCAAACTCATATCATACTTCATTTTGTAACTTACGCGGTATACAGATAAGCTTTGCTGAGTGACACAAAAACAAGAACATTGATTATTACATCCAGGTCAAAACAAAATTAAATCATTTTACGAAAAAAAACACCTCACAAAATGCAGAATAAATTAAAAGGAGTTGAAGTTGAACTTGGATGAAATCGCCATTGCAAATGCTCCTTTTCGGAGAATACATTCTCACCGACTAACCGTCTACTCCTTCAAAAATGTCAACCTCAATGAAACTATCCCTGTAGACGAATGACAAATCAAAAATAAGGGACAATGGATGTCGATATACGAGGTATTGACGAATTCTTCAGGAATAGATCTACACTTCTGTGACAGACCCACCAAACATAAGCACAAATCAAGGTAAATATCGAAGGCAAACATTCCCTCTCGGAATGCGAAATATTTGACTGTCAGATGTAAAATTCACATTAGCATCTGTGCACTATAGAGAGGGGGACAGACAAACAAAATGTCCTTCATTGCATTTTTATGCACAAAAATATCCGCTTCAATCTATAAACTCTTACGAAATAAGAAATGATTCTGTATTCATCTGTTTCATTCAAAGTGAACCAGTTTATCAAAGTACAGATATCGGAATACTATTCACTACTCGAATTCATTTCAGATGTGTTTATCTCCCGTTTACTCTATTTCAACCTACTATTTATTATATTTTGACTATATTCATTTTGTCATCACCATGATTACTGACAAAAGTTCGACGGATCACGTCATAACATACTCAGTCTCTGTGACTCAATGGTCAGTAGGCTAGCTATGCAACCATAAGTTCCTGAGGTCCCGACACTCATGAGTGTGTGATGATTGAGATTCCTAAAGTGGGATGAAATACTTGTCAAACGCTTCTCGCATTCGTTATCCAGCGAACCGGGAGACAACACACATCAATCAATGGCTCAGTAATGGAATTCTGGCTTGATATCAGACACATTCAAATTCTATCATCGGTCGACACATTTCTAAACCTCGCTCAATTCATTGGTAGTTAGTTAATAAGCTCGAAAAGCAGAGCAGATTGGCCCACGTGAGGGCTTCACAACTCATGCACAAACACTAAGACTTGAAGACCTATGTCGCATTAGCAATGCAACAAATGAAAACAAAATCGCGTAGACAAAATTAAAATGTCATGTGAATATGGAACTTACAACTTCTCGCCCTCAGCAGGATCATAACCTTCAAATTGGTAACAGTGACAGGTGAAAACAATTTATTGCGCGATTTTACAGAAAGCAACTCTCCTGTAATATACTGAGGAATCAATGAGTAAGACTGCACAATAAAAAGTTGATTTAAAAGGTGACGACTCCGTTTAAAATTTCGTTCGTCTCTTTTGTTGGAAGTAGTCAGTGTACTTGATGAAGAAATAATTTCCGACAGTCAATATTTACATCACCTGATTAACATTTGTTCATACAACTTTACTTATTATCAAGGCATATGGAGGGAAATAGAAAATCTAACGAAGTATTCACGTTTCGTACTTTATGCTGCAGGATAAATCAGTCATCTAAATTCAGGAATTCGTCTGTACATCATAATCCGAAAGTGTTTATCCATGACAAACAGGTGGTCTTGATATTTCCTCCATCAAGTGTCTTCAGTCCGATCCATTTGAAGTAAGAACACTCATGTACATTATTAACCTACCAACGTGTAGCTTCAGATATGATGGCCAATCAGTTAGATTCTCAAATATGTACAAGCTGGAGTTCAACGATCACAGGGTTGGGTGCAATACACGAATGGTCTACAAACCCACCTCATAACAAATAGCTCCTCAAGACGAAAACCGATGGGTGCTTACTGAGGAAGAGTTCCACACTGGGTGAAACGGCCATTCAGTACTCTATTGTGTTTCCCAGTGGTTCCTGACTGATGTCAGCTTGAAAATGATACTTGAAAATGATCGCCAGCTGTTCGTCAGATTATTTGGTTACCTCGTTTCTCATCCAGAACACAACAAATATAAACGAGAATCGTTAAATACTGGCAGTGATCACTGACCATCAAGGATAGGCCAACCATCCGAAAGCATATCCTGTCTCAGTTTATCACGTGTCAAATCATCACTCAAATAAAGTCACAATAAGAACAAAATAGAAACAGCCTCACATAAAACAAAGAAAACTACTTGACAACTCACCAGCTGAAAAGTTTGGCACCACGAAGATGAAGAACACTGAGCACAGGACAGCTTGAAGTTTCATGTTCATCTTGTACGTGATGCTGTTTGAAGATGAACTGCAATAGGTTTGTGTCACTCTTTTATACTAGAATATTCTCTGTCATATGACGAGATAGTGACAGTATCACCTGCATACACACAGGGGTGTTGTTCTCTAATCAGTGTGATGTGACATTGATAAGCATGGCATTTCATCTTGTCAACATGATAATGAGGAAACGATTCCGTTGAATGTTTACTTGAGTTGTTTATCTAGAAAATTCATCATCCTCATAGAGTCAATCTTAGTGGACATCACATGAACGCCTAAAACGTATACGTAGCTATACACAAATAACAGTCACGTTCACATATTTCCAATCTCTTATCAATCATTTACTTTAAGAAAAATGTTTTCCAGAATTAAAACACGTTTCTTTTATCAGTGAAACCATTACACTTTGATACCGGAAGGCGCCTGAAATGCATTCATCTATTCTAGTGACAAGAAAGAATTTCATCTATTTATAAACACAATTAGTTCCCTCTAGATCCCTTGAACAATGAAGTAAATGTATGCGGTGAGGGATTAGCCCGTGTCTCACTACTAATGATTAATTTGAGCCGCTCTTCGCAGATTGTAAGCTCGAGGATAGGGAGTGAAAATTTTTGAAGTGCTGGCCGTCCCACTTATTTCTGAATTTGCCTATATACTGATGGACTGTTTTCGGAAGTGCTTTTGGATGTGTGTGGGCGGTTGTTACTTCCCAGTTGCCCCCCCACACCGTGGAAGGTGATTTATTCTTCGGTTATCTGAAACAAATAGAAAATTAGTGTTGCGTGACCGCAGAGCCCAGAGGATAACTGCTTCAGGCCGGTCACACACGGCCTGTATGAACACGTTTCTGGGATCGGTTCCGTATTAGTAAACTTACCGTCGGTTTCGGACCACCGTAGATTAAGTCGTGATATGCAATTGTTGGTGTCAACCTTTTCCAACCCCCCCTCTACGTGGTGGAGAAATAGTATAGCTGGCTGGCATGCTGATCATCTGAGAGAAACACCTCACTGCTGTTACATTCCTGTTCCCCAGCAGTACGACTTTGCCCACAGAACCCCAGCATAATGTGAAAAAAAATTATAACACTATGCCGGTAACTGCTTTTAGAGTAATCGCTATCCTAACAACCTGGCATGTTAGGGCCTGCAGAAACAATACTTCCAGACACTGTAGCTTGTTGAGTCATTGCGATATGCAGGCCCGACCACCGCGTCAAGGTAGCAGCTATCGGCTGGGACTGATGGACTAATTACTGGCAAAAGCGCAGTATAGTTAGACAGCGGCAACTTAATGTTTCATATTCAAATGACGGTTAGCAGGAATTTCATTAGTTTCAGGATTGCATCACAAAATGTCATCCGTTGGAGAGCCTTCCAAAAACTAAAATCGTTAAGTATCTCGATGGCCTGACTGATTCCATGCTGGCATTTACTTCTCATTCAGAGTGTTCCGAAATCAATAACGTCTAATAATGAAATAATGAATGTGTGAAGTGAAACAGATGAAGGCATATATTGAGAAAAGAGATAATATTGTGGTGAGAGCTGGCTGTTAGCCAAAAGTGGTAGACAGTAATTTACGTCAATGTTTACGTCCTCAATATTGGTCGTGAGAAAAATATGAACAAAGACTGATTCAACAACCAACCACAGCAAACTTTGCGTAGACGGATACAGTTAGCATATAGATGATCTGATATTCAAGAAACAGCCACGAAGAGAGGAAAGATTAACTTTCAGTGAGAAACAACTAATCAAAAGACTGTGTTTTTCTGCTAACAATAATCTATAGTAATGTGCATGAAAATCTACAAATATGTGTTGATTTCCTTATTAAACGATCTGTTGCCTGGCCCTTGTCTTCTGTTGTTACAATATCACCAGTAATAAGTCCGGATAGTATGAATGAAAAATCCGTTAGTATTGAGAGAATGTTTGCATGAAGGGAATAAATTATAACGAATAAAAATAATAAAAAGAATAATAATATTATTAGTAATAATAATTGTAATAATAAGCAAAGAAAGAAAACAAACCAAGAAGAGTAAGGGGAAGAAGTACTCTTGGTGAGAAGTAGAATCATCTATCCAAATCCATTAGGCTAAACTTACTATCTCCTGTTTAATACATGCCACTTTGTACTAGCCACTCACTCACTCACTTGACACCTTTTATAACCTTGAAAAAACTGAATGTTGTCAATTTGCTTACCCCACACTCTACGAATGAATCTATTATGACGACTAATCACCACGACAGTGTCTCCCATTTCACCGAAATATTTTGTAATCGATTTCAGTCAGCCCAGGCCTGAGGTTTGTCACAGAAATACGACTATTTATTTCTACACCCCATAACCAATTCGTTATTCTACATTAGAAAAATGCATCCACCGCATAACTGGCTGTCATTATTGTAACGACAACAAATATTTTAATTCTCTTATAATTGTAAGAACCCGAAGAGGAGAAATTATTGAAAAGAATATTCTTCGTTCAGACTGGCTTTTAATTCATGATATGGGAATATTTCACACTATTGGATCTAATAAAAAGAAGATAGGTAGTGGCACTATTCTAGAAACATTCGAGGCCAAAGGTCAAATTAAAAATTCGAAAGTGTAATAAACAAGAAGATTGGGTAGACAAGACAAGATAAAATTGTAATAACTAGAAAACTAGTCATTTTCCATAATTACGGGTTAAGGACGTAGTATTAAAGAAATGGGTATGAGGTTCGGACGTATAAAGATAAAAACTAGTTAAAATCTAATAATGTAGATAGGGATTTAAAAGGTAAATATATAAGAGAAATAAATGGGAAGGTTGGACAAGAAAGGTATTAGGATAATCATTACTGGTGAGACTGACTTTTCATGATGGCCACGGTAGGGACAAGGGTTGAACGTATTTGTTTTGGACACATAGAATAGGCTTGTGTTTTTTGGATCGACAGTGCCTCAGCTCTATTCCTAGATGTCTTGATTTCACTCACTTTGGTAGGTTGGATCAGATCTTGTATATGGCTTTGAAGGACTTTTCAAATAGGGTTGAATGACCAGATTTCACCAGATGTTCCGATATCGAACTGTTTACCGCTTTGCATTCTCCCTCTGCTTACCATGCTGGGTAGTGTTCCCGCGCGCATTTTACAAGCGGACACATGGTATAGCCAATTTACTCAGCTCCACAAGAGCAAGTGGACTTGTATATGCATGTTGGAGTAGCCAAATCTGACAGCTTGTCTTTCACGTGCTGGGTGAGTAGTTTCCTGCAGAAGAATGCTATTTGTAGGCTGGCGGCGAAGTATGTTTTACTGAGAGACTTCGAAAGCCGTCTACGGAGAATTTGTATATCAGTATCAATTTTAAATTCGAGGTTCAATATCAGCATCTTTTGAAGGGTAATTTGGAAATTTTCACGTGTTTTCGTGGGTTTTAGATTCTTGTTTATGAATCTGGGTGGGAATCCATTTTCTATCAAAGTCCCTCGGAGACTTAGTTATTCTTTGAAGATTGACTGTTCAGTGTTAATCTTCCGGATACTCGAGGGAAGAGAGTATTTTAGGTTTCTCTTTCTGCTTATAGGCACACAGCTTTGAAAGTTAATAAAATATCCGTTCCATGTGGGCTTTTTGTATATGTTTTCCAATGGTTCTACAACCGATATCATTTTGCGACCAGATCCTGAAACCCATGATTTCTCAGTAAACTAACATACGATGTCAAAATTACCTCACCATTTTCTACCCATCCTGCGCTTTCCTCACTAATTCGTCCATCAGTATTTAGGGAAATTCAGAAATAAGTAGGACGGTCAGCACTTCCTAAATTTTCACCCCATATCCTCGAACTTGCAGTCTGTGAGGAGCGGCTCTCATGGATCATCTTTCATGACGAAGAAGCTAGTCTATTTCCACACAGAATCAAGTTCCTGCTCAAAGGATC